TTATAAATATAAAATTTATCAAAAATAATTTTATATACAAATTGGAAAATTCTTAAAAAAATGTTTAAAACGAAAGATAATGTTACTTAAAATATAAAAATTGTTTCAAAAATCATTGGATATTATTTCGTTTATGTCATTTATTAGTTTAGATTTCTCTTCATAATTATAATTAATGTTTATGAAAGTTTGTTTGATCATTTAACGTACTTGTGACACTCCGAGATAGTCTCTGACATTTTCTGAAAGGTAGACCATGTTGCCGTCACTGGAGAGTACTAACATAAAGCCGTTGAGAGCTTTTGGAAATAATTCATCCATCTTTGCGGACGACTCGGATTTTGTCAGCGTAACTGGAACTTATGTTAAAAGATTCATAAATTTAGTAGTTATTTAGTAGTTATAAGTTAATTTTATGACGTTAATTAAATCCCAAAATTATTTAAGATCGCAAAATATAATATTAAAATCTGAAACTATTTACTTTAAAAACCCACGCTTATCAAACTCTTTGATTTAAAGAATCAAAAATGGCTATATCTAATTGATAATATTTAATGAAGGGAAATCTTATGATATCCTAAAGTTCAAATAAATTAAGTATCTTAAGATACATATTTTCTACAAATTTATTTATAAGGATATATTATTATTATAGGATTCTGACTTGCTATAAAATTGTGAGAATAAAATTCCTATAAAGTATTCTACATTAAAATATATTTGAAACGTTTATGTTTATGTCCGCGTTTAAATATTTTGCAACAAATATATATATTTCTATATTTCTAGTTGAATAATATTTCTATGTTTCTAGCTGAATAGTATCGTATTTTATATCTCGAAAGAAAGAAACATCTTTGTTGCAGCGATGAAGACGAGCATTCAGATACTTTCATAGATACTCACTGGAATCCACGACGGCTCGGACTTTGAGGTAGGCAATCGCCAACCTCATTACGCTGGCCTTATCTAAGAGCGCTGCTTGTTCCGGTGCGACCGGAAGAGCAGCCGCAAGTTCAGTGAAGATATCGGTTTCTCTGCTACGTCTGCAGCGCGCTGCATCGCGAGATCTTTCCTTCCTCTTCTCGTTGCTCCTGCAATAACACGAAAAATTCGTCTAGCGGCTGCGAAATGAGCTAGTTCGTCCGATATTATTTCTATGGAGATTGCGCAATTTTTGGTCCTTAAGAATGTTTTATAAACCTGTATTATAGAATCTGTGGAAAATATGCTGATTACATTGTAAACTATATTTTAACCCTTTGGCAACAATATGAATTTAACTCTTTCGCTTACAAAGAGATCTTTGAGAAACAGAGTAAATTTTTCATTGTATTCTAGATTAGGTATATAAAACATCTGAGATAATTTTGGTATATTTATCATAGCTTTAAAGTTTTACTATTACAATTTTATCATCATATAAATCGAGTTATATTTTACCGATTATTATTAATATAAATTTAAATTCATTTCACAAAATTCACAATTAAAATATCGATGATACATTACTTGAGGATTAACATTCTTTGCTAAAACGCAAATTTTCAAAAATGTCATGAGAATTGGTGGAAAAATATGGTGGAAAATAAGGAACATTCGTGCACGTAATATAGAACTGGCCGAAAAATTAATGTTGATTTCGGAATATAATATATAGATATATCATTTTTCGTTTTTCACGTAAAATGAATCATGCATGAACAAGAGCTCTTCTGACTATCTCTAGACTTTTTTTTTTTCCGTAAACAGACATCTTGAAGTGCCTTGTAAGCGACAAGTGTAATGTCAGGTGCGCTATCACGCACGATAAACTGTTCTTTTTCGAAGAATTATAAACTAGTTCTGAATTAATGCAAAAAGTTAGAATAAAACAATCTATACTTGTTTCACTCTAACTTATTACACACACACAGTTCAGAACTTGGGATGGAAAAAGAACAGACCATAGTTTCATTGCTTGAAGGTCGTCAACTCGGTTCCATATTACGCTGTATTAGTCGCTAACCGCGCATCATGATGCATGCTGTGCAGCTGCGGACGCTACTTGATCTCGAAGCGAGGTTGCGCTTGATTACTAAGCGCAAATATATATGCGTATCGATAAAGAGAACATTTAAATAGTAGTTCGATAGCAATTGAACTTGTTTGATTGGATCTGACGTATTCAACATTTTATAAAATTATCAACTTCGTCTTCAGTTCAAGAAATCGTTTGAGCAATCTAATTTTAAACACAACAATCTTATGAGTTCGAGCGTGTCATTCGATTACTGTTATTGCTACAGAATGCAGCTATTAGCGGATTGGAAGGTGCATCTTTTCGGTCGTTAATCGAGAAAAAAACGTCGACGTTATCGCTAAGCGAAGCGTTATCATCGCGACAGGTCGACCTTCGAACGATATTGCTTTTGAAATCGATCCTACGATCTCGTCACGTTTTCTCTCCCTCACCGCCCTCCTACCGTTGGCGGACTCCAGTCAAAGTCAAACTGATCGACTAATCCAATAGAACGGTAGACATAATTAAACGTTGTGGAAAATTATCGTGAGGAAACGACTGTCATTTTCTCTTTTACCGCGTAATTAATACAAAATATTCCATATTGCATAAATTGCAAATAACATACAAAGTATGTTATTCCTCCTCCAATTGAACAAATAAAGTTTTCTTTCTCAATAACAGTTTAATTTGTTTAAGTGATTGAGAAATCTTATTTCAAAGTTAAAGAAATCAAATATTTCTTAAAAAGATATGAAAACCCTGAATAAAAGAATATACAAATCTACCAAAATTAAATAAAGTAATTCTAGTTGGATTCTAGAATTAGATTAGAAGAAAATTGATAAAATTCAATAAAATTAAAATATCCAGACTAATTTAAAAAAAAAATAGATTTAGTCTGTTAAATTTGATAATGCCATATGGTACTCAATTTTAATTATTTAAAATCAATTTTACAGGTCGCCGCTACTCCTACTTAATATGTCGTTAATTTAATTAAAACAATTTAACTCTGAAGAAAAATGTATTAAATTTAACTCAAATTTAATTTATTACTAAGTGCATATTAATATGGACATTGTTTACTTTTGAAATTAGAAACCGTAGAAATGGATTACTACTGTTCTCTTAATATTTAACAGTTTATAGCATAGCATAAAAAAATCATTAGAAAATTTCAACAAATTTCATTAAAATTTATTCATTTGTGATTCTATCGCGATAAACACGTCGAAGAGTCTAAGCAGATGAAAACGGAGAGAACAAAAGGACATTATGATGATCACCGACTTACAAGTAATTCTCGAGGAGTTGTTCGTCCTCCGCATTGTCGTAATGCCAATTATCGTTGTAACCATTCTCGTACATACATGGCGGTAAAACAGGCACATCGTAAGCGTACGAGGTGTCATAAAGGGGACAGCGATCGCTCGCCGGGCACTGCAGCCATCGTTCCTCGCTGCAGAAATTGAACAGTTCCGGGCAATCGTTGCAGAACCAATTGCCCAGTCCCGGGTCGCCCCGTCCCAGATTGTGTCGCCCTGATTCACGGGGCTGCTCCTCGGACAGCCTCATACCGCAAAATCGCGAATCGCTAAGTCTTGGATCGCAAAATGGCGGACCATCGTATCCTGAGTTACGAAGCCGTAGATCGTTGCCCATATCGCAATATCCCAGTGTACTGGGCCCCATATCGCAAGTTTGTAGATTATTGGGTGTTAGATTGCAAGAAGGTAGATCACGGAAATTCAGATCGCGGTGATGTTCCTGAGACTGATCCATCCTTACGACCTGTCCGTAGCGCGATTTCTTCGAATAGATCGCTCGATTACCCAACGAGGGTGGCTTGCAGCCGTCCGTCGGTGAATCGAAGTACATTGCGAGATCCTCGACATCAATTGGGCCCAGCTGACAAATTTTCGAGGTCGTGTTCGCCGTGCAAACCCCCGATTGTGGCTCGGCCAAGTGATCCTCGTTGCGGAACCACGTTGTCTCCGGATCGTCGCAGTCAGCACTCGCTGGAGCGACATTGCACGTCGCTGGTGCATTACTGCATGCCACGTTGCAAGTCGCACCAGGCGCATAAGGAAATCTCATCGTGGAGCAAGATGTCGTCTCGATATCGCAAGCTCGTGATCTAGCATTATCACCAACGTGTGACGTAATACTAGGAGAGGGTACGACAATAGTGTCGGGTAAGACATTGTTAAACGCGATCGCTGGACCATAAGACGACGGTGGCAGCGGTGGTTTCAGCAATTTGCGCGACGGGAAATCGATCTCGTTTTCTCTCGCCATGTGATGCGCATTGACACCAGTATAATCCGATACCTTGTCGATCCAGTCGTCGGGAAAATCAGAGCAACGACCTCGCTGTTGATGACCGTCGCCAAGAATGATGTTTCCACCCTCCTCCCTCGTCTCACCATCTTCTCTTTTTCTTTCTGTTGCCACTTCGTGCAAACGCGCGTTCATGTTTTAATTCCTTAATTTTTTATCCACGTCACTTAATCTTTTAGTTGTTCTCTACTTTTAAGAAGTTTTCTACTTTTTTTTCTTTATTTTCTTCAATCTTCTTTATCGGTTTTTTTTTTATCTTTTCTTAGAATTAATTATACTTATTTCGATCAAGACGAGCAATAGAAATTTGAGACTTCTCTGAATTTCTTCGAGGATCTTTCATCAACAAAATTTTTTCCGTTTATTTTATCCTTTTTTTCCTTGTTTGTTGTCTCTTTTTCTCCGTAAAGAACCGATTCTATTTGCGATTCAGTTCACAGTTAGTAGGAATTTCACGCTTTAATTATGCTAATTCTGTTGACGATTGTCCTTCACCTCTCCACGCCCGCTTTTTTCTTTCTTCATCTTTTGTCTTCATTAAAAAAATGTTCAGATTTCCTAAATTTACTCCGTTTATTCTTTTCCTTCTGAACTTTTATAATTTTCTTTATTTCTTCACTAGTTTCTTTGATAAGAGAATTAAAAATATTATCTTTACCATTCATTAACAAGTCAATCTCTATAATAAATTTAATCTACGTAAAAAGCTATATAAATCCAATCTATGTACATTCAATTTATGTAAAAATAAATTTTCTGCATTAATGCGTTTCATCTATTTTGCATCTCAATCATTTTCCACTCGCTTGAAATTTCATTCCTCTTCTTTCTCACATCTAGTTTTCTCATTTTATTGCTAAGAGCTTATCTTGATTATAGCCGATCCACGTGGCCAATGTATAATCAGGAATTTCCTAACACCAATAAAGAAAAAGGTACAAAAAAATTAAACTTGCTTGTATACCTGAATATTAATATTCAAATTTTTCTTCACAAGTGGAATGTCTGCGTTTTTTTTCCAGTCCTCTCTTTTCTAATCTTTCTTTTCTCAATTTATTCACACTTCGCTCTTCTTTTCTATTTTTCACAAAGTTGGCCTCTTTTTACACTCGATACGCACGTATATTCAATGACTACAATTTTCACGGAAAAAATAAAATTCCCTCAATTCCTATTACCTTTTTCTCTTTTAGAGTTCTTCACTCTCCTTTATCCGCTTATCCAATTCTATTCTTTTCGAGTTTCATCCATATCAAATGATTCGCACTTATTTTTTACGTATCCTTTACGTCTCTACAATCATTTTCATCCCGCCTTCAGTAATCAACAATAGTCGCAACGATTTTTTTCTATTATCTCTTATCGGCTTATCTTTTTTGTATCTCTCAGTTGTTTCTCTTATTCTTTATCTTAACCGAACTAGGATTGAAATTAGATTCGTGAGCGGAATGTCGATGATTTAGTTTAACGGTCCGTCGAGAACTCAACCATGAGCGGGATCGTCATCTTCGTCCTCTTGCATGCTCCCTTTATGTAAGTGTGACTTTTAATCCACCTTCACGGTTCGCGCGATACTAAAGCCCGGTAGCAATGCGATGCTATTTCTGCTGGACGTTCTGAACGATCGTTATCTCGCACATCGATAACGATACTCTATCATCGACGCCGTGTGCGAACATAACAAATTCACTGAGCACGTTTTTACCATTTCAGACATTTTGATTTATCTATTGTGGCTCATCAAACGTTGACGTTTGCCATTCTGCAGGTTTCTGACGCAATAAATTATTGTCATCATGCAAACAACGCTACGAATTCAGCGTAAAAATATTTTTGCAAAAATATTTTTGTGATTTTTCGTATAAAAGAAACAATCGCGAATATATAATTGAAATATCGATCGATCGAATTCATGGAATACGTGATAGTAATTTATATCTCTCACAGAAATGTCGATAGAAAGGAATATGTTGAAAAACAATGCAATTAGCATATTTTTGCATTAATTTAACACGTACGCTTGTTACGATTCAGATATAAATCTAGCTGGAAATGAATATTTTAGTGCCATATATCACTATTTAAAAAAAAAAATTGGCAAATTAAATATCTGAAGAAACCAAATTAATCTTTTGGGAACACTATCATTTTCTGGCATTATGTGGGCATTTTGATAAGTTAGTGACTTTTTAACTTTTTTTTCTATCAAAACTTGACATATTTTTCAACAGTCTCCTTTTAAAAAGTCATTGACTTTTATCAAATTGCCCATGGAATTATGTTGAAGAGATCTTAACAAATTTCGAATTAAGAGACACTTGTCAACGAAAACAACGTTGAGGCAAAAGAGTTTATTTTGCTTTGCGTTTGAGTTTATCTTTTAATGGAAGCAATAAATGGGTTATTCTCACTCTCTGTGGTCGTGTGTCTAATGACTTTCCGGTAATTTGAATGCCTGGTGGTCGGCCGCTAACATTCCTATCGCAGAAGATAACGTGATCCCCAACGGATATCGCGCGCTTAAAAAGAACAAGAGAAGCTGTGTCCGTCACAAATCACTCACAGAAAAAAAAAACGGTTTTGCTGAATTATTTAAAATTTTAGCTAAATACAGATCGAAAAATAAATTTTACTGAATTGTCAAAATAATTATATAGAACGCTCAAGCTGATTCTAGAATATCAAAATTTTTTGCAGTATTGCTCTCTTCATGCTTGAGTTTTCTAAAACTAAGTTTACTAAAACTAAACATAGATCGATTCTTATTTTCAAGACGTTTTAAGTAACGTTTTAAGACATGTTTTAATGCGGCCCTCTGATTGGTTCGTGATACCTCAAAATAGAACTTAAGACGGTCTCAAATAAGAACTTATATTCAATATAAGAACTTATATTTCATAAGATTATGAACTGGCTTAATCATATTTTTAAATTAATTAAAAATATACGTAAGGAGTTACGAATCAATGCAAGGTTTTTAATACAAATAATATAAATCTCAATATACAATATACTATTTTGATGGCCTAATTATTTTGATGGACAAATTATTTTGTATCTATATCTATACACTCTAAATTTCTTACAGCGAAATCTCAATAGAGTGAAAATGCAACCAGCCTTGAAAAAAAAGTGAAAATATTTCCCTTCTTGAAAAAGAGTGACAATTGTCATCCTTTTTAGAGTGAATTTTCACTTCAAAGGAGTGAATCTCATTCCTTTTTTTTTTTAAGTGAGATTTCACTCCTTTGAAATGAAAATTCATTCTAAAAAGAGTGAAGATCGTCACTTTTTCTCCAGAAATATTTTTACTTTGAGATTTCACTGAAAGAAATTTAGAACGAAAACTTTTATATGTATCAATACAATCATTCTTTCCGTACTCGCAAACATTTATCCGGCATTTTTTTTTAGCGAGACCATGCAACCTGCACGGATGCAACGCAATCCCGATGACGGGTATGTAATCTTGACGCAACCTGCGCGATCCTTGAACCGGCCGCGTAATCCTCGTGGCGAATCATGCAATCGGAAGTATTGTCGATACGAAAACGCGGAAATTATTTCGCAATCATTTCTATAATATGTCAATCGGCTACATTTATTTAGTTACGGTGAACGTTTTTTGCAACCTTCGATATATAAAATCTTCATGTTACACTCGGTTAAACAAATAAGCAGTGCGTTTTTTATCGCGCCTAAATTTCATGGAGGATATTTAAGCGATGATTAATACTTCCGGATGTGACATACGATATGCATACAATACTCTAAGCCGATTTGGCAGGAAGAATCTAAACATTTACGTACAAAGTACGTTTGCACATGATATTGTTTCTTAGGATTTCTATATAGTAGTGACGCGCGAGGTTTTTCCAAACCGCGATTAAGTATCCTCCAATCGAATTTAATGACACGTCGTATAATTTCGGTAATGTACTTGAAATCTTTTAGCGAATTCGATTGGAACGCACTTACAATCAGTACGCACTGATGCACATTAAAGCCGTCGTACAAAAGTTAATGTAAATATATATCAGTATACATTTATAAATAAACATAAAAACCGGTTAAATCATGAAATACTCAACTTAGTTTACATCATGCACTTGATACACGTACTAATTAGTAACTGTCTATTAAATTATTTTAATTTCAGCGATCAAAGAATAATGTACTAAATTGATATAATGTGCATCAAAATGATTAAATACACATATGTATATGTTTACACGTATCGCCGGAATTAAGATAATTCAATAGAAAGTTACTAGTTAGTATCAAGTGCACGATGTAAACTAAGCCAATATACTTTATTGTGCTGTTAAGTAAAATATGTATTAATTTTATAATTTGAAATATTTCCATTTCATTTTTATTTAAATCAGTGTACGGCTTTAATATGCACCAGCGCACACTAGTGCATCTTGAATTCGCCATTAGATATCTTGAGAACAGAAAGCAATCTACAGGGTGTTTCTTAAAAAGCAGATACTAACATCATATAACGTTATTTCTGATTAAAAATTGAGCCGAAAAATCTTCTACCATTTTGCAATTTTCGTTAATGATTGGGCAGCTGGATACGCGCTTATTTGGCAATATTTAGAAATTAATATTTCGTCAACCATTACGGAAATTGTAAACAATATAATATATTATAGGACGAGTGATAACACAAATTATAGAAGTTTAAACGGTTTAGCTGTGAATTTATTACTACGAATTTATATACTGGTCCTTAAAAATGATGAATTTTTCGATTTTTCGCTACTAATTCTACTAAATTATCGCAGTAATATCATGACTAGCAATTTAACAAATTTTTTATGCTTTTTCGAAAATTGTAAAATTATAGAGAATTTTTCGATTCAATTTTTAATTAGGAATAACGTTATATAATTAGTGTCCACTATTTAAGCAATACTCTATATATTATAGATTTTCTTATGGAAATTTGCAATTCAACATAATATTCTAAAAACCAGCTTGAGTGTCATGCATAATTATTTTCAAATCTGTATTTACTTAAATTTTTAGATATTTCAACAAAATAATTCTTTCTTTGTAGTATTTTTTACAATTAACATACGAGAATCATAAAAAATTTATAGGCGAATTCTAAATTAGATGCTTATATTAAATACTTGAATATAATGAATAAATTTCTATAAATTTATTAATTCTCTGAATTTCTCAGTTCTCTGAATTTATTAATTCAATTTAGGCCCGGTTCCACCAATGTAAGATTTAACTTAGTGTTTATTTTTAAGAATTAGAAAAAGAATTAGAAACCAGGATATCTAATTCTAAAAAAAAAGATAAAAAATAAATTGAGATTAAAGTTAATCTTACATTGGCAAAACTGGGTCTTATAGAGATAAAATTCAATCTATGTTTCACTCAGCTGACCAGATGCGTAACGCTGTCAACGCCAAGTCGCGATATACGAACAATTAAGAAAGAAAACTTTGCACAAGTCCTCTGTTGGTCATGCGTGCACGCGTAATCATCGCGATATACACAGCATTTCATTTCTGCCACATCATCTTTTAATGGATGGAGTCTTGACTAGTTTGGAATCGGGTTATCGCAAATATCAAGGGAAATTACCTACCGCAACTTCCCAGTCATGAAATCTTGTACATAATTATAGGAAAATTAACATTTCGAAATAAACGTCCCAGTTAGAATTAAGAAGGATATGATGTCAACCGATGACAATATCGAGCCAAACTCTTTTCTTTTCTTCTTTCTGATTCTGTCTTTGACAGATAACGCCGCTGAACATCCTGTGCAGACTATGCATACGTGGCTGGAGAGAAGAGAACTCCCCTCGCTCATATCATCACTTATACAGAGAAATAACTGTCACAGCAGACACTCTAATTGACATATTAATCTCTACTTCCCCTGCCTATCCCTTTGTAAACCTCTATCGATCACTTGGCGAGACATACAGTAACTTTTTGCTTGCATAAATATGTTACATTGTGACAAGATTAATCGAAAACGCGTTATAACGCGATTATGTCTTTATTTCTTATAATATTAAGCTTTCTGATTAATTTCAGCAGATGTCGCTATTTTGCTATTTTATATAAAGTGTAATTAATCTGAGCAGGTTGCTATTTTGTCATTTTATACAAAACTGCAATTAATCTCTTACTGCCTAAGGAATAAATCTTTTCTTGGCGATATAATTGCTTACAATTATATTTATATTACAGATTTTAAAGAAAATACCTTGTATTTAACTAATTAACTAATGATATAAGATTTAATATTGAAAGTTCGATTACTTAATTACTGGAATTTGAATGATCGAACTTTTTTTTCTCCAATACCTCATAATTCGATTTCAATGCTCGCAAAAGTAATTTAAATTCTATGAGAAATGTCTCTGCACCACTAATTCTTATACCCTCTGTAAAATTATTCAGATCCTCAACTTGATGTACTATGAAAAATATTCACGAACAAATCTCACGCACAAAAACATGTTAAATTTTTAATCTCCACACATGAATTAAAGTTTTGTAAACCGGGAAAAAACTTGTTTATGTCAGAGGAATATTGCGATAACAAAGAATTAGAGTGTCTTGTCCGATGTAGTGACTACGTGACAGAAAGTCCGTGTAAAAGGGAGTAAGTAACAATCATCGCGTTGCTATCATTATACTTTTATATTTGATAATGATAACCCTACGTAAATGAAATATTTTT